CTGTTCCTCCGCGGAGCTGGCTCTCCCTCTCACAGCATGGACTTCGGAGACACACGAATCCAGGTTCAAATCCCAGCTCTGCCCCTTTCTCACCATGAGACTTTTGAGCAAGGCACTTCACCTTTCTGAGGCTCAGTCTCCACACCTGTAAAATGGGGATGATGATAATACGGCCCAGGGTTGTGGCTACGGTGTACTTTAATAAACTCTGCAGAGTAAACGCAGGGAATGGGGCCCGCTAAGTTCATATCAGCCGCTGTTTATATTCTTTGAATTACTCCTCTCCCCTGGGCTACATGGTGTTTGACGGGAGGTCTAGCATGTTAACTAAAGGTTAATTCTCTTTTGAACTGGGACTTAGCTTTTAAGTATGCCAGAATATACAATGATCAATTTCGTGGAATCTCAGCACGAGAAGACACCTTGGAGAGGACTGAATCGAAGCCTTCATTGTATAGTCCTGGAAACTGAGCTCTGGGAGGCGCCGACTTCCTCCAGCGCTGGTCACCACAGGGGCAGCACTCCCTAGGACTCAGGTCAGGGGGCGCCGGCCAAGAGCTCTCCTTGCTGCCTCACTCTCTGAGAAAGTCCAGTGCAAAACTGCTAACCCAGCCCTCCACCCTTCTAGCTTGTTAGAGCCAGTGTCTGCCTTGACTTCGGAGTTCTTTCCTAGAGAAGACCACAGAGGGCAGCAGAAACCAGGAGCGGGGCACAGAACAGTTCAGTGCAGACAGAACTCCCAGAGGGTGGGTAGCATTTCTCTGCTGTGATCTCCCTCCACAGAGCCATTCCTCGCCCAAAGCAGGAAGGACTTTGTACTGTGGGACAGCCCGGAACCAGCAGGTGCCAAGTGAAGACAGTAGCAGGGCAACTGCTGGGCCCCAGCTTTTACCAAGTGGCAGGTCTAGGACCAATGCTAGTGCTGGACCAATCCCCCAGCATCCGCAAAGCCTTAGGACTGTCCAGTTCATACCTCACACCCTTTAAACATATGGCTGTCATTTTGCCCACAGGCTAGGTGGGTTCCAAGCATTTTGAATGCAGCAGAATTAATGGAGAACATCAATTCTGCAGGGGGTGGGAGGGGGCGGCGCTTGGGATTTCATATTGTGATGGGATTTGGTAAGGGGCACAATAAATCCGTGTTTCTCTGACACTTTTGTCTGTGCCCTGTGTACTTAGTAATGTTTACAAAACAAATCTCTCAGAAGTAGGAAGGAGGGCTTCCAGAAAAATGGCAGATACATTAAATTAAAAGTCTGATGTTTATCCGCTAACAGTAGCTGGTCATCTTCTACAGCACACTCAGTCCTTGGGCATGACATCAACCTGATAAGAACATGGAAAACTTCTGTGTAAATGTACACCCGCACTCTCCTGATTCCAAAAGTAGTATCTATTCTATGTAATTAAGTCTCTTACCGTCAGTTGTGAATTTTATCCCACAGGTCTTTTTTAAAAGAGGAGCTTTCAATGCTTAAAAACTCAAAACTTAACATACACCTTCCATGAGGGCACTATCTTTCGCTTAGACATTTAAGCAAATTGAATAAAGTACTTCATTTACTTTAAACAATTAAAATGTAAGATCATAAAACAGAGGCTCCAAAAGGGGGAAAAACAGTATACTTAAAGAGAACGTGACTATTAAAAAAAAGACTGTCCTTATTATCAAGGCATAAGATATTTTTATTCAAAAGTATCAAGAATGAGGCACCAAATCTGAAAATTAATTAAAAGTTTCTCAAAGAGCAAATATCTCCAAGTTTTTGGAAAGGAACCCATCATTTATTGACCTAAGCAGTAGGTACAGAAACCTAGGACTTGAGTTTGTCATTTTAGGAAGACTTAAGCACTTGAGAAATGCTTGGATAAACTGTAGACCTAGAGTATAAAATTTCAGGTAGCATAAGCAATAGATCAGAGACTCACACACTTAAATCATCTCAGAAATGGGAGAATCTCAGAAAAAAAGCTCCAGAAACAATCATCCACAGGAATTTGTCAGCACCCACTTCACTATTTAACCAATCTCTCTGGTTGGCCAGGAATCTTTCCCTAGACCCAACTTAAGTCTTCACTCCACAGAGCAAAGCCTTTCTCTCTTAATTATCCTCATCAGAAACTGAGCATAGTTGATTGCTCTTCTCTGCATAATAAATCCACTCACATATTTTGAAATATTAAATTATTTGAAATCCTTGAATCCTCCAGTCTAAATATTCTCATTTCTTTATCTTTACTTCCTAGATGGTGTGCGCCACCTAGTAACCTCGCCAAATGCTGGTCTGGGCTCTGAACTCTCTCCAGCAGTCTCCACCTCCTCTCTACATTGTGGAGCTCAGAACTAACAGCTCAGGCTCATATCACAATCCCTACAAGAGATTTAGCTCAAAACTCCAGAAGCTTCATCTGCACTAAGCAAAAAGGTAAAATGCTACAATTTATATCAATCACAATAAAAATGGGATCAAAATTCCAACATCTTTAAGTGCCTTCTTTTAACCTAGCGGTAAAATTCAAGGCAATTCACCTATTATTTTAGGTTGTTCTCCATTTTGATCAAAATATCCATTCACCATTGTCAACGTTTTTCTAATGCATTAGTAGGAAGTACAGGCCTTCAACTGTTGTACAAATTTTGGTTGTTAGTTTCAGAAAAACGATGGGGGAAGGAGAGTGGGTAAAAACAAGTTCAAGGCCACACATCATTTTTCCTTTTTAAAAGAAGTGTGAACCCCAAGTTTGCAACAACAGGATGCCACATAGCTTTTCAATTTTTGAAATTCCTCATTAGTCACAAACTTTATTTCAAAATGGCAAAAAATATTGACCAAAATTTCAAAAAATGTAAATGTCAAGTAACCCGCATGAGGGTTTTTAAATGTGCAGAAAGTACTTAAAATGCGTTGCAAGCCCGCCAACAAAACTCGCACCAAGCAGTCTGCGGCGCTGCGGACAGGATGCCCCTCCACGGTCTGAACGCTAACGGCAAAGAAACAAAGATTTCGACCAAATATGGTTTGCCTCTCGCTAAATTTTCCGCGTGACCAGTAGAAATAAGTTCACAAAAATGCAGGCAAGCATTTCTTTTCTCCCAAAGTGCTTCTGGGATTATAAAACAGCTTTGAAAGTTCAGCCTGACAAAACAAACATGGTATTAGGAGGAAAGACCTGGAAGGCAGTCACAAAAAGTCTCATTTAAATTCCTAGAAAGCACGTCTTCTCCAAACACAGCTATTCAGTTCGCTTTGCAAGGCATCACTTGCTGCGAGCCACAAGTTTTAACTTCCCTCCGTCCCCCAATACCGTCAAATCCGAACCAGACGGATGTTAACATTCCGGACTCAGAAGAACGCATCCAACATCCTCTCCGTACACGGCGGAAAGTGAAACAACTCAAAAGCAGTTTTCCCCGTGCAAGTGCATAAGAATTAACAGCCGGGTATTTAGGATTCTAAAGATCCCTTCTACCCCTAAACATTATAGCTACAGAAAACTAGAAATCAATAGAACACACTTTAAGCTTTAAGAAGTGCAGTTTTGCACGGGGGTGGGGTTGAGAAAGACAATCAAAAATCTCTATTCCCTTCTAGAGCCAAAATAAAAGATCACCATTACTGAGATACAGGGGCACAACTGTGTCCGCCCCTCCCCAAAGCGCAAGCCCTCCTGTTCGCTCACCCTAAGAATTTCCTGCTTCTCCCCCAAAACCACTCTCAACCTCCCCAGACAGAGGTCTGGCTCCTGTCGCCGAGTCTAACTCCACACTGAGCAGCGCACAGGCTGCGGCGACACAGAGGAAGACGTCGCCCCACTGCCCGAGCCCCGCGCCCGCCCTTACCAACCTTCTCCGGACGCCGCGCCTCGAAGCGCCCGACACCACGGTGCTCGGCGCTCCCGGGCCGCGCGGCGCTGGAGTCGGAGACGTGCGTGTCACATTTTCTTCTCCGGCGGCCGCTCGGGCGCGCGCCACGCGCTCCCACACTCACACGGACGCCAGCTGGAGCGGGACCCGAGGCCGGGGGCGCCCGGCGCGCGCGCGCCGCCGAACTTAGGCGCTGTGGACGCCGAGCGCGCGGCTCAGATGCTCCTGCTTGTGGCCGTGGCCGTGGCCGTCCCCGCCCCCGCCGAGCAGCCTCCTAGTACTACCTTGGGAGCCCCGAGCGACCCGCGCTCGCGTCCTAGGCGGCCTGCGGGATCACCTCCCCGGGGCCAGAGCTGATCGGCGCCGGGCGGCAGCTGCAGGCGCGGCGGGTGGCTCGGCCTCGGGGCCGGCGTGAGGCTGTGCTC